TGTGTGTGTGTCTCTCTCTCTCTCTCTCTCTCTCTCTCTCTCTCTCTCTCTCTCTCTCTCTCTCTCTCTCTCTCTCTACCCACTGCAGCGCCAAAAGTTGTACGAGATGGCGGGTGCCGGACAGACGCCATATTTGATAGACCCCAACACCGGCGCTAAGGGATACGAATCCTCCGAGATTAACGACTATCTAGATAAGACCTACGCGCTTTAGACCAAACTGTTTGCCTTGAGGCTAGTGGTGGAGCTTGTGTATGGGCCGGGGAACCTGCAGTGCAATGGAGCGCCATCGGGTTGTCCGGGAGGCGATTCGAACAGATATCTGGATACCAGACATTTGAGGTGAAGGGCTACCTCGAAGTAACCCAAGGGTTCAAAACCTCCCAAGTGTTGACTCGCATGTCGACCACTGTGAATAGTCCAGCGCACGTTTGCACTAGGTTGAGAACCACGGAGCAGAATCATGAGTTCCACCGAAGAGCAGGAAAGGATAGTCAGCTCATTGGCTCAACGCGACAGTTCTTGGGGGGGAAGAAACCAGTTTTAGCACGACCGGCGTGTTGATTCGGTTGACGTTGTTTTCCAAGTGCAATATGTGGATTTCATCCGAGTCCCGTGCCCGTTTTTGCCCACTTGATTCGGAACAATTTTGTTTATGTTTCATACATGGACACGTGCCGATGGTGTTGCACAATTAAGTCATCTGGTTCAACAGAGCGGCTGTGTTTTTTTTTCACGCGTGTGCGCGAACGGCGACGACTCGCACGATTCGTGTGGGCAGGTAGTTCAGTTGGCTCGAATCCATGTATCCCTGTCTTGACTCTCTGTGCACTGCTGGACTGGAATTGGTTTGGTGCTGCCCGATGGGCACCAGACTCACTTGTGTGGTGCCCTTGCCGTTGGGATACGAGAGGAGAGTTACAGCAATTGTTCACTCCTTTAGAATAATTATAATAGTTTCGGGCTGACATGACGTGTCCAGCAGCCGTAGCTTTCTCTCAACAGTCTGCAGAACTCAAAGACGCTGCATAGAAGACCATTAATCATGCTGTCAATCACGGACTACCTTGAAGATTATCCCGCGTGTTTTCTCCATCCACTGCTGCCGAATTTTCGTATTCAGGACATCCACAAGCTTTCGTACACAAATCCCAGGAGACGATGTTGCACGGTAAGCATAACGAACGTCGAGCTGGGGGGAGGAAAACACTCACAACAAATTATTCATCTCTCAACACAAATAAACCCTGCAACAGACTCAACACGCGCAATATACGATCACATGGTGGTTCTACTGCTGTATGAAGTGTATTGTTCAGTGGTAGGTCGACTACCCAAGCACCCACTTTTTCGGCGGAAAAGCGTAGGCTCGTTGGTTCTACGCCTCTATCTGCATCCTGCACGTATGGACTCATCGGCTGCCCACACACTTCATCGTATTTCTGCACGTTACAGGTGGGCAGTCGGTCCACCCACACTACACTGTCCGGTGCCACGCGAACATTATCGGATGAACCCTACCATGTACTCTTCATCCGTGTACTCTTCATCCGCGGAGCCCCCGTTAAGACGCTGTGAATCAAACACGCCTGCTGCAGGCTCCCAACACTGCTGTGCACGGCCCTGTTTACAGTGCCTGCGTGGGGACAGCACCAGCACACGCATACACGATGACAGCCCGGGCATTCCTTCGCCTTTCGGACGATTTACGTGAAGCGTTTGCCTCGGCGCAAGACGATGAATCGGTGCGCTACCTGCGCGTGGAGGTCGTGAACGGGGACACCTTGACGACGGTTGGGTCGAGCGCAAAGGGCGCGGATATCAAGACAGACTTCGATTCCCTCGCACAGGTAAGGAACCTGCCAGTGCGCCACTGCTGAATACGCTGTTTCTTCTTTCCTGCTTTGTGGCATGGGTCTAACGGAGTGCACAACAGTCATCGTGTTGTGCACTTGCACTACGTGCGGAGCAATAGCAACATCGTTTGCCCTTGTTCCTGCGGCTCATCAACAACGAGGGCGTCACCTTCTGCTCTCAAGCAATAAGCCCAATACCCAGCCGGTTTCCCTCCATTCCTGCGAAGACTTCACCACATCCCGTTCGACTGTGGTCTTATCTCGAATGGGTAGTCTTTCTGTGTTTGTATTTATGTTTCCTCAATTCTTTTGTAAATGGACTGTTGGGCGTTACGACGTGTTCCTTTCAATACGTTCACGTTGGTACAACAGAGTTCCTGGACACCTTTTTTGTTCGGATGGATGTGTAGGAAGGGAGTGCGATTCCTCTTCCTTCACGAATTGATTGTTCTGCTGGTTTCGTTGTCTACCGGTAATGTGTCCAACCCTCTCAAAGAAACCCTCGACAATTCCCTCTTGAGGTTTCTCAAGTAGCCACACGGAATTGAGACTAGCCGCGCTCCAACCCCAGTTCGCCAGCGCAAAGGAAACGGCCTTATTGCATCACTTCAGCCCACCCTGGTTCAAGTCAAATGGTGCAATCCTGCTGCAACCTCCATACTTCAAACATGAAGAAGAAGCTGCTAACTCGTTCTTGTGTAGTAGTGTGCGACCAGTACGCGTACAACATCTTGGAAACAAACCAAATGTTCAACTCATATTTTCCCCCTACTAGATAGGGGGGGTAATGAGCCGCGGGTGACGACTCAATACCTTGCAGTAGTCTATCTGCGATGCTGTGCAAGGTGCGAGACAGATACTCTGCGTTCCAGGCAGCGACGTTGAAACCCAGCATGCGCATATCAGGTCCTTACTTTTGCGGAATAATATTCATACGGATCTTCCACGACCTTGTACCCCGCACGCCCCGGTGGTCTAGTGGTATCCTCGTAATCCCTTAGTCGCAGAGGTCGTGAGATCGAATCCCCATAGGGAAAAAAATTTATGCAATTTGCTGGTGAAAGCGAAGTATAGCTAAAAATTCATAGCCTGGTTTGGTGTGTTGTTGTTTGTGTAATGGTTTTGGAGTAAGACAAAGTGGCATCGTAACTCGCTTCGCTCGCAGACACACTTCACGGGGTTCCGGACGCGGTGCAGTGTGCGGTTACAGTGCCGTGTGACTCGCTTCGCTCGAAGGCAATTGGCGAGGTGTCGGGCGCGGTGCAGTGTGCGGTCACAGTGTTGTGTGACTCGCTTCGCTCGAAGGCACTTAACGGGGTTCCGAGCGTCGTGCAGTGTGCGTCACAGGAGTGCCGTGTTGCTCGCATGTACTCAAAGGCAGTTTGTCCGCAGCAGCGTCATGTTCCCCCTTTCGAGGAGTCCCTTATTATGTGCTTCGTTACACACCGGTGTGCCTCTCCTCTCCTTCTATTGCACAAGGTGAATAATTGTTCGACCGTTCAGCAAGTGCATACTCCCCCTCGACACGTGTTGCCCCACCTAAACCGTTGTACAGAACTCCAGGCCACACACCCGCCCACCCGTCTGGGGCGTAGTATGACCATCTTTCGTCCCACAGCGTAGCGTACGCAACTCCCCTACCCCTCACGTTAACCGTAACAGTGGCCGGTGCCTTTTGTCGCATGTCGGCTAGAGCGTTGATGGCATCGATGGGCGGTTGGAACGCCTCCTTGAGGAACTCTCTTGCTAACTCTCTGTCCTGCAAGACATCGTCTGGTAACACGAGGAACAGGCCGTCTAGAGTTTTCCCCCTGGACACGGCGGTATACCCCTGACCCTGGGCGAAGAACCCTCTAGAGGGAATCCACACGGCCACCCTTTCGAACCCTACCCCTTGCACTCTGTGTACGGTCATGCAAGCAGCGACCATGAAAGGCCACTGCTTAACGATGTACGTGCCGCTGACCGCTACCCCTCTGCAGTAGGGCACCCATACCATTTTGTCCTCGAAGGGCTGTATTTTGACAGTGCTCTCCCTCCCCTTGCCGGTCGTAAGCTCAACCTCGACCCACGCTGGGCGCTTATGGTAGTATGCAGTTGTCCCGTGCCCCAGCAGCAGTTTGTGGAGAGTCAGCGTGGTGAATTCGAGCACAAGACAGAGAGACAGAGAAGGAGTACGAGCGAAGAGAGACGTACAGCAACTGCTGTGATGACGATTCAGTATGTGATGCGTGCGCGCATGATGTGTGGTTGTACCTGTTGATGCACACGGTTGCTCCTCCATGGAGGAGGCGGTTGTACATCGACGCTGCTCTGCGGTTCGTAACCGAGAAGGAGCACAGCAGTTGAGAGCTGCTACGAACGCAA